TTTAATGGTGATTGCAATGTTGGTCGATCGAATTCCCATGTGGTCTAGTGGTTAGGATCTGGCGTTCTCGCCGCCATGGCCCGGGTTCAATTCCCAGCATGGGAAAATTCAAATTCTGTACAGAAAATGCCTTTTATTCTGTGCTTACATTCTAAGAATTGTGCCCTCGTGCTGTTGACGTTTGCTGCGTCCATCAGTTTAACTTGCAATGCCGCAAACAACGTAGCTAAGAAGATCACAATGAGTAATTACTGACGACGTGTGTACCAGTTCCAAAAATAACTTGGTGGTGTTTAAATCCACAGCGAAATAGTAAAAATTGCGAAGAAATGAGTGTGCAGTATATGGCGTTGGTGGTTCAGTGGTAGAATTCTCGCCTGCCACGCGGGAGACTGGGGTTCGATTCCCCGCCAACGCAGAGTATTTTACCTCTCGCATGATGGTTTCAATAATTTAGTGAATAATTGCTATCATCATGCACATGGACAGAAATTGGAATCCCTCCAACACATGTCTAAAGAAGAACGGGATGATCAATTTATGTTCCCAAAAGTTTACACAGAACGTTTTAAACAATCATTTTTAAATAAGTGTCTTTTTAATGACTTTTAGAATTTTTTTATACGGTATATATTATAACAATAACGTTAACATATTTCTAAATAATCTAATTATTTTATCTTATATGCACTGATCGTTTTAAACAACTTTTAATGACTTTTAAAACATGGTTTTACTGTATATATTAACTGTAACGTTAACACATTTGTAAATAATGTAATTATATCTTATATCTACAGTAAAGTTGCACGTTTCTTGCAACTCCAATATTTATGATAGACTTTAATAAAGACTTACGAATGAATGAATGTCCCATGTGGTCTAGTGGTTAGGATCTGGCGCTCTCACCGCCATGGCTCGGGTTCAATTCCCGGCATGGGAAAATTCAAATTCTCTTCAGGGAAAGTCTTTTATTCCGTGTTTCCATACTAAGAATTGTGCGCTTGTGCTGTTGACCTTTTGCTATGTCACCATTTCAATTTGCGGTGCCGGAAACAACGTAGCTAAAGAAGATCACAATGAGTAATTACTGACGACGTGTGCACCAGTTCCAAAAATAACTTGGTAGTGTTTAAATCCACAGCGAAATAGTAAAAATTGCGATGAAATGACTGTGCGGTATATCGCGTTGGTGGTTCAGTGGTAGAATTCTCGCCTGCCACGCGGGAGACCGGGGTTCGATTCCCCGCCAACGCAGAGTACTTTACCTCTCGCATGATGGTTTCATGAATTTAGTGAAAAATTGCTATCATCATGAACATGGACAGAAATTGGAATCCTTCCAGCACATGTCTAAAGAAGAACGTGATGATCAATTTATGTTCCCAAAAGTTCACACAGAACGTTTTAAACAATCATTTTTAACTAAGTGTCTTTTTAATAATTTAATGACTTTTAGAATTTTTTATACGGTATATATTATAACAATAACGTTAACATATTTCTAAATAATCTAATTATTTTATCTTATATGCACTGATCGTTTTAAACAACTTTTAATGACTTTTAAAACTTGGTTTTACTGTATATATTAACTGTAACGTTAACACATTTGTAAATAATGTAATTATATCTTATATGTACTGTAAAGTTGCACGTTTGTTGCAACTCCAATATTTATGGAAGATTTTAATAAAGACGTACGAATGAATGAATGTCCCATGTAGTCTAGTGGTTAGGAAATGGCGTTTTCACCGCCATGGCCCGGGTTCGATTCCCGGCACGGGAATGCTTTTTAGGACATTCGATGACTTTTGTTTCGACCACTGCATCGTGGATATTCAACTGCAATATCTTTTCAACGATGGCCTTGTGGCGCAACTGGTAGCGCGTCTGACTCCAGATCAGAAGGTTAAGTGTTCCACTCACTTCAAGGTCATGACGAACCTTAGGAATTTTGTTGAAAATGTTCGATATCAGAAGAGAGAAGCCTTTTACATTTAATGGTGATTGCAATGTTGGCCGATCGAATTCCCATGTGGTCTAGTGGTTAGGATCTGGCGCTCTCACCGCCATGGCTCGGGTTGAATTCCCGGGTTGGGAAAATTCAAATTCGCTACAGAAAATGCCTTTTATTCCGTGCTTACATTCTAAGAAATGTGCCCTCGTGCTGTTGACGTTTTGCGACGTCCATCATTTTAATTTGAAGTGCCGCAAACAACGTAGCTAAGAATATCACAATGAGTAATTACTCACGACGTGTGTACCAGTTCCAAAAATAACTTGGAGGTGTTTAAATCCACAGCCAAATAGTAAAAATTGCGAAGAAATGACCGCGCAGTATATCGCGTTGGTGGTTCAGTGGTAAAATTCTCGCCTGCCTCGCGGGAGACCGGGGTTCGATTCCCCGCCAACGCAGAGTATTTTACCTCTCGCATGATGGTTTCATGAATTTAGTGAAAAATTGCAATCATCATCCACATGGACAGAAATTGGAATCCCTCCAACACATGTCTAAAGAAGAACGAGATGATCAACTTATGTTGCCAAAAGTTTACGCAGAACGTTTTAAACAATCATTTTTCAATAAGTGTCTTTTTAATGACTTTTAGAACTTTTTGGTAGGGTATATATTATAACAATAACGTTAACATATTTCTAAATAATCTAATTATTTTATCTTATATGCACTGATCGTTTTAAGCAACTTTTAACGACTTTTAAAACTTGGTTTTACGGTATATATTAACTGTAACGTTAACACATTTGTATATAATGTAATTATATCTTATATGTACTGTAAAGTTGCACGTTTGTTGCAACTCCAATATTTATGATAGATTTTAATTAAGACTTACGAATGAATGAATGTCCCATGTGGTCTAGTGGTCAGGACCTGGCGCTCTCACAGCCATGGCCCGGGTTCAATTCCCAGCATGGGAAAATTCAAATTCTCCTCAGGGAATGTCTTTTATTCCGTGTTTCCATACTAAGAATTGTGCGCTTGTGCTGTTGACCTTTTGCTATGTCACCATTTCAATTTGCGGTGCCGGAAACAACGTAGCTAAAGAAGATCACAATGAGTAATTACTGACGACGTGTGCACCAGTTCCAAAAATAACTTGGTAGTGTTTAAATCCACAGCGAAATAGTAAAAATTGCGAAGAAATGACTGTGCTGTATATGGCGTTGGTGGTTCAGTGGTAGAATTCTCGCCTGCCACGCGGGAGACCGGGGTTCGATTCCCCGCCAACGCAGAGTATTTTACCTCTCGCATGATGGTTTCATGAATTTAGTGAAAAATTGCTATCATCAAGCACATGGACAGAAATTGGAATCCTTCCAACACATGTCTAAAGAAGAACGTGATGATCAATTTATGTTCCCAAAAGTTTACACAGAACGTTTTAAACAATCATTTTTAACTAAGTGTCGTTTTAATAATTTAATGACTTTTAGAATTTTTTTATACGGTATATATTATAACAATAACGTTAACATATTTCTAAATAATCTAATTATTTTCTCTTATATGCACTGATCGTTTTAAACAACTTTTAATGACTTTTAAAACTTGGTTTTACTGTATATATTAACTGTAACGTTAACACATTTGTAAATAATGTAATTATATCTTATATGTACTGTAAAGTTGCACGTTTGTTGCAAATCCAATATTTATGATAGATTTTAATAAAGACGTACGAATGAATGAATGTCCCATGTGGTCTAGTGGTTAGGATCTGGCGTTTTCACCGCCATGGCCCGGGTTCGATTCCCGGAATGGGAAAATTCAAATTCTCTTCAGGGAATGTCTTTTATTCCATGTCTCCATACTAAGAATTGTGCGCTTGTGCTGTTGACCTTTTGCTATGTCACCATTTCAATTTGCGGTGCCGGAAACAACGTAGCCAAAGAAGATCACAATGAGTAATTACTGACGACGTGTGTACCAGTTCCAAAAATAACTTGGTAGTGTTTAAATCCACAGCGAAATAGTAAAAATTGCGAAATAATGACTGTGTTGTATATCGCGTTGGTGGTTCAGTGGCAGAATTCTCGCCTGCCACGCGGGAGACCGGGGTTCGATTCCCCGCCAACGCAGAGTATTTTACCTCTCGCATGATGGTTTCATGAATTTAGTGAAAAATTGCTATCATCGTCCACATGGACAGAAATTGGAATCCCTCCAACACATGTCTAAAGAAGAACGCGATGATCAATTCATGTTGCCAAAAGTTTACACAGAACGTTTTAAACAATCATTTTTAAATAAGTGTGTTCTTAATGACTTTTAAAATTTTTTTATACGGTATATGTTATAACAATAACGTTAACATATTTCTAAGTAATCTAATTATTTTATCTTATATGCACTGATCGTTTTAAACAACTTTTAATGACTTTTAAAACTTGGTTTTACGGTATATATTAACTGTAACGTTAACACATTTGTAAATAATGTAATTATATCTTATATGTACTGTAAAGTTGCACGTTTGTTGCAACTCCAATATTTATGATAGATTTTAATAAAGACTTACGAATGAATGAATGTCCCATGTGGTCTAGTGGTTAGGATATGGCGTTTTCACCGCCATGGCCCGGGTTCGATTCCTTGCATGGGAATGCTTTTTAGGATATTCGATGACTTTTGTTTCGACCTCTGCATAATAATAACATTTAATATCCATCTTTGGTTAAAAAAGTACAATGGATTTACAAGAAGTGCTAAGGTTAAAATTGATAAGTAGAAATGTTACTATTATTTACATCATGTTGCTAAAAATGTTTATACTAGTTATATATTCTATAAAATTAATTTAGGACTGTTTTAAAAGGGATATAGCTCTAGGTATAAAGGATTGCCGGGGTCTTTTAGTATACGATACAACATATGGTAGATTACTTGTTGTTCTTAGATCGTGTTCATGGGTAAAAGGTTGGGGGATAAGTTTATTACATGGGTTGGTCGGATCACTTAGAATTCTTTGTTATTCCTAAACAGTTAGGTGTGCCCTTCTTTGTTCTAGCATTTCAAAGTTGCACCGAGATGTGCCGAGGATTTTGATGCATCTGTTTTGAATGCTCTCTATTTCATCAATGAGATATTGTGGTAAACCACCCCATATCGGAGCTGCATATTCTAAAACAGGTCTAATCTTGGATTCATAACATGTAATACCGACCTCAGGAGGAAGATTCGCCCTACGGCATTCTCTCAGACTAAACATTCGTTTATTTGCTTTCTTTACAATGTTCTTAACATGACAGTTCCATTTCAAATTATTTTGATGCCAGACACCCAACAGTTTATGAGAATTTACTCTTTCCACTACCTCGTTTCCAATGACCAATGGTTCTGGTGCCGGTATTGCTGTGTTAAAACATATCCACATATCTTTTGTTTTCTTCGAATTTATCGTCATTTTGTTCCTATTAGACCATTCTTGTACTGCTTCAAGGGCCTCCTGCATATGGCTGGATGAACTTTGTGACACCACTTCGTCCTGTGTACAATCATCCGCGTATTTGCATATGTTTATGGATAATCCATCTGGGATTGAGTTCTCAATATCGTTAATGTGAATATTAAAAAGAGCGTGGGACATCACAGAACCTTGTGGGACTCCTGCAGGACAAGGTTTGACCGATGATAGGGTCCCTGCTAGTTTGACCTGTTGTCTTCTATCTTCCAGAAAACTACGCGTCCATAGCCAAAAGGCTTTGGTTACATACATTTCTGCGAGCTTACGAAGTAGAATTCCGTGGTCAACAAGGTCAAACGCTTTGCGAAAATCTATGAATAGTGCATGAACTCCATTTTTGGCGCTATGAGTATTGTCGGTCACATTAAACCAGTTCTGCGAGATGTTGGTGAGTGCGGACACGGTTGATCGTTTGCTTGTAAAGGCATGCTGATTATCATTTATACGTGAACTGGGAAGGTTCAGTTTGAGCTGCAGCTTTTCCAGCACTTTAGCCATTTGGGGAAGAATGGATGTCTGGCGAAAGTCATTCTCGATATCTCTTGGTGGATTGACCTTCGGAACTGGGATAACTAAGGCGTGTTTATACGCAGTTGAATATTCACATTCTTTTATACTGGCGCAAATAATGTCATGAACGATGGGCGCTAGTTCTTCACAGTATCGTTTAAGCACCCATGCTGGAATCCCATCGGACCCGGTGGCTTTTTTAGAGTTTAGTTGTTTCAAGGCAGTCTTAACCTGTCCAATTGAGGGAGTAGGAGGATTTTCTTGCCTCAGTGATGACGCTACTACGTCTTCAAGACTAGGGATTATGGTTTCAGGAAGTTTTGACCATGGTTTAGTAAATATATTCTGCAGTATTTCCACTGTATCGGGAGTGCTGTCTGAGATTAAGTTGTTGTTTAGATTGTCATCTTCAAAGCCAGCTAACTGGGATATCGTTCTATGCCATTTTGCTGCATCGTGTTTGCGTTTGCTTTTGACCTTAGATGAATAAAATTCTGCTTTAGCTTTCTTGATAAGTGTTATGATCTTATCAGCCAATTGTCTATATTTGGTCATGTTCCCAGTAGTATAGGCTTTTTGCCTCGCTTTAATCTCTTTTTTGATATAAGCCGTCATCCATGGCTTGTCAGACGCATGGGTACGTATCGTGGTTACAGGTATTGTTTTATCTAATATGTCTATTATAGTATTTGTAAAAAGACTAACTTTGTTATTGATATCTCCAATTACGGTGGCTGAGCTATGATAGCAGGCGGCATTATCTTGTCTAAAGTTGACAGATTTCAGTTCTGGCATTGCGCGCTTTAACTGGAAAATGACGTCATCTATTACTGCTATCACATACAAGCTGTCCTGGTTGCTTTTGTCGAACACGTGAACAAGAGTGAGGTTTTGTAGTTCGCCATCTACCTTTCTCATGGCTACACTGATGTGCCAAGAAATACTTCTTTTGCCGAACCAGTCGGCCTGGCTTTCTCGGTATCTTCTGGGAATAAATTTCATTGCCCAATCCAAGATGACGAGTACTGAAGTGTCATCCAGTTTGTCAAGAATATCTAACCGAGCCTAATCTTGGTTGACGGATCGTAGTAAATGGGCTTTCCACGCTTTTATATTCTTCTTTGCCTGGGTTACTATGAACTTCATTTCCTCTTTTTCTTCTAGGGGTATATCATCCTCGTCCAAAACTGACTCCATTTCGCGCACACCAGCAGGAAACAGATTGCATCTGTCGCAGATTAGATCATGTTTATGCTTACAGGACTGCAAATAATCTGGATCACTGGCATGGCTTAAGGAATAGGGCCGACAATGATCAGGAATCCTTGAACTAAACGATATGTGCACCTGAAAGAAAAATACGGCGCTTATTATGATGGCGGACGAATTTGCATGCTGGATTGCAAACTATGCTCTGTTTACACTTCCAAGCTTTCTGTGATTAAATTTTTAAAAAGTCATTGATCAAAAAATTTCAAAGCAATCGCTTTCTTTAATGGGGGCTTAAGCCCAGGTCACACTACACAACGATAACGATACGATAACTTGTATACGCGCGCTGATTGGTCAAAAATTTATCGTTATCGTCCGACTGAAAAAAAAATCGCTCAGGTGAGCGATTTTAAAATCGTTATCGTTATCGTCTAACGATAATTTTATCATTTTCGTTGTTGTGTGGACACTAACACAATTTTTTTGACAATTATCGCGTGTTTACAATTTATCGTATCGTTATCGTTGTGTAGTGTGACCGGGCCTTTACACTACCAAATATTTTGATTAACATACACTTTGATCACAGAAGATTTGATTTGATTGATTAGGAAGATTAGTCACTAACCTTATAATCCCCTTTCAAGTAGCGCTTTGCCAGCTTCAGCTTTTTTGAAATTTCTTTCGACCATGACATTCCTCGTTGGTAGCGATCTCCAAGCTTCTCGACAACTTCTTGTAAATCATCAAAGGCCTTCGCCCCATCAGCAGAGAAATAGTCGAGCCCTTGAAGCGATTTGCGCATCGATGCTGAACACACTTTCAGTATCCTTAGATTGCTGCTTCGACTTAGAGGGGAGCTGTATCCGATTTCTGCGCAATAGCGCTCATACTGCTTTACGATCTGTTCTGGGATTGAGGTTCTTATTACATTTGGGATCTTGATTTCAGTACCAGAAGATAGTTTTAGAGTTTTTTCACCAAATGGTAAATCTTGGATAGCTCTTGAACTCGTTATGAACGCTAAGAAATGATCCAGCTGTTCAGGTGAGGCCCTCATTCGTGTTTGCCGTAGGTCACGTTGAGGAACTTCAGATCCTCTTCCATTAAGCAATCGATGGTGGCGTGCAATTGAAAACCGATAACGTGATATACCAGGGATCCACTTTTGAAGCGTTGTAAAGCTGACTTTGTCAGCCATGATTGACAGTATCTGTCTGCGGCTGCTCCAACAATTTGCATTATCGTAACATTCGACCAAGACTTCCAAAAGTGTTGAATCCAAGTCACTTTCTCCGCCCATACTTCCTTCTTGCACGGCTCTTAATAGCTCTTCAGAATTTTCTGGTGCGATTTCTTCAAGTGTTTTGCGTGAATAACTTGCCTAGCTTTACGTAAATAGTGTCTTTTTGTACGATCTGCCGCTGCATGCCATGAAGTGTTCATCGCTGTCCTTATGGGGCTTACATCTCTAGAAGCAAGAAACACATTCAGCCTTTCTCGAGGCGTTGTGTTAGGGTCTTCCATCTGTGAGAGTTCAGAAACTGCTGAGGGGGGAAAGAACGTTGAATCCATTACATCAAGAGGTGTTTGAGGAACTGGGATAGTTTTGTGCATGGGTGTCTTGAACATTACTTCATCATCATCATCATCATCATCCTAAAAATTGTGAGATACCGTTATTTCTCTTATTCTTCGATCGACTCATCGGTCGTCTATACATCTATTCGTCCGTCGTCCGTCCGTCTGTTGGTGCACATCTGTATCCGGCTCGTTCACACCATGCCGCTACGAATCTCTGCCGGCAGAAAATTATCCCGTAGAGTTTCGTTCCGGTTTGGTGCGATAACTTTTTCGAGTTTTTTTCTTATTTGAAGTTTACCTTCATAGCTTCATTGCTTGTTTACCTTGTTTACCGTAATACAGCTCTTAGGGTTAGGCGTTCACACGGTGCCGAGACGGCCGAATTTTGCTGCGGTTTCAAACTCTTATGGTTATCGTTACGGTTTCATGTTTTTTCATACCGGTATCGTGTGAACTAAAAGTAAGAATTTCGTTTCGTTTTCAAACTTTGCGGACATCGTGTAAACGGGTGTCTAATATAAGAGACAGAGGTTCGTTACAGTATGTGGATTTTTAATTATTAATCTGTCGATAACATGGCTGCCTCTCACCATATCCTATTTGACATACCAATGTTGTTTGCTTCAACTGACTTTCTAGTTCATCGACATCTACTCTGCGAAGATTCTTCAAAAGATCTCTCCATTTTCTGCATACTCCTGTGGAATAAAGTGCTGCTCATTACATTTTATTATATTGGGTTGTAATCCCCGAGCCGACGGCGCGAAGCGCCGTGCGAGGGTACTATTTCCCCCCGGCTATTTACACCCGGGGAAACGAAAGCATTAGCGAAGTCTAAAGTTCATCAAATATTGCGGGCGTGGCTCACCAACGATGTTTCGGTGGGTGGTCATCCTCACTGATCTCAAAATATTTGGCGGACTGTCATGAATAGCGAACACTGATCTAATTTAAAGTTTGCATTATAACGACTGCATGACGACAGCGAAATAGCAAACATTTTTTGATTTGATGATTGATAAATTTCTTGCAAATATATTTCATTTTTGCTCGCATTTTTGCAAGATTTTGTAAATTTCAAAAGCTCTCAGAAAGAAACGCCAAAAGAATCGGCTAAAAGAAGGGAGCCGACGTTAACGAAGGTAAGTTTGTTTTAAATATTGATTTTTTAATGGTTTTAAAACCCGACGGCCTTTGCGTATATGAAACAACTAAACAAGACAGTATATAATTTCAGACAGTGTATCTTTAATATTGATTCCCTTTTTTATTATATTGAATTTTTAAATAAAAAAGAAAGCAAAGTTATTTGCATGCGAGAATTTGAAATCATTTTATTGCAAACTCAAAGTTTATCGATAAAGCCATTTAATTAATAAACGCAGTTTAGTTAGTTTTATAAAGAACACTTTAAAACATTTTGCGAAGCGTTTGTGGTTGAATTTTACCTTAAATTGAAGCTTATATTACGTATAATAACATACCTAACATATATATGTTGGTAAATTGATAATTTTGTAATTAAAAGTGATATTTTTAGGCAATGTTTCATTTGTAAGAATATTCTTAAAAATTATCGTGTTACAATGACAACTACTTTAGATACTTCATGTTCGGAATTTGCAATGGTTTTGTGAGCAAGGCGAGGGTTGCTGCATGCATGTATTTTCTAATTTTAATTAAATTATTTAGTTTTTATGTGATCACTTTACTTTGTAATTCAGAACTTTTACTGTAAATTTTGTGACGATTAAAACCGTGTACATATCTAATATCTATTTAATTATGCATCAAAATCTGACAAAAAATTCTTACCTGAGCCACACTGAATAAACACGCCAGTCTTTCGTAACACATGTAGGGAGTCATATTTTCCCAACCCTCTTTCACCCTTGGGCCAACTTTTCTTATTTTTGTTACCGTGCTGTGACAAAACAGGTGGAACTCTGCATCTTATACTAGCTCCTCTTGTCCATCCTAAACCAAGTTTCCCGCGATGGAATGGGCATATTGTCATGTCGTTTATATCCTGTGGTATCTTAAATATCGCAGCTCGAGACAAGATCAAATCTACCTCATTTTCCGGTCCAGAAAACGCCAATGATCCCAAATGTTTTGCTATATCTCTTGAACAGGAAACTAGTGGAATGACTGTCACTACTTCTTTTTTTATCTCGGCTATCTGAACCACATATTCCCCCAATTATCGTCTTAAACGAACAACAAACCTCCATATCGCACTAAAGTACTGAACTTTATTTGATTATGCTGTAAAGTTGGGCATTAAAAAGATGAAATGGCAAAATATGGCAGATTATTATAAATTTCGCAACTTGTAATCAAACCCCGCCCAGTATTCTAAATTTAGAAATGTAATAAGTAATATGCGGCTATTAGTAAAACACGGAGCACGGAGCACACGGAGCACACGGAGCACGGAGCACGGAGTACGGAGCACACGGAGCACGGAGCACACGGAGCACGGAGCACACGGAGCACGGAGCACACGGAGCACTACGGAGCAGTAGAAAAACGAAAATCCTTTATAATAAAATACACTGTTTACTACAAATTTTTATTACAAATTTTTGTTCTTATTAATAAAGTTTTTTCGCGTTTTACACGTTGAGGAAGTAGAAAAATGGGGCTTTTACTGCACATATGATGCAAAACTGCCAAAAGCCATAGTATTTAAAATAGGATTGTGCCTGTGAAACTCGTCACATATCTATCAAGCTTATGAGTTATGTAGTTATATCAGTATATTCCGATGGCCAACGCATTAAGAAACACTTAGAGAACAGCCGATATATTTCGTTACCCCTGCCAAAAAATAGCCAAGTACTGATCATCTTTCAATGTAGCGGATCGACTGAACATTATAAAAGCTTGTCATGGAGAGAAGTGAATTTTCGGTTTATCCTTCGTCCCAGTGACCAGTGAGCAGTGTGCTGTACGGCCTACGCCGGTTTAAACCGTTATACATAATTACTGCTTTCATTCTTTCAATCCGTTTTGAATATTCGGAATCATTCACTATTATATTATAAAACTGTATAAGATAGCTGTAGAACTATAAATGCTGTAGAATAAAATAAATAAAGAAAACTACGTTTTATCGCGGTATTTGCCGATAAATCGGTAACCGCTACAGAAAAACAGAACAAATTACAGTAAATCACAACAAACCGCGGAAGTGGGACAATTTTTGTATTTTTACTGTAAGACATGCAGAACATGTACGAAATCCATACAGAAGTGTGTGTGTATTCTATACTTTTGAAACAACTAAATCAGACTTCGGAAAATTTGACAGTATTAAAGCTACTTTTGAGAATTTAGATTTTAGGTCTTTGTTTTACATGTACCCAGTAAATATTTTTGAGTTTTGAACTTTGATTCTCACAAGCTTACAATTTGTTTACAATTTACTCTGCCTCTGGCTCTGCCGTGCTGCACGGCAGAGTTGATCGGAATTGTAACAAATACGCGTACACTTAAATGGCTTCCTGAATTTAGTCAATATGTAAATATTACTCGTTTCAATTTTATGTTTATGCTCGAAACTGCTCATGTTTACAATAGCAATTCTAACAATCTTGCCCTCCTTTTCGCCTTTGAGGCGTTGGTGTTGATTTATACACAAAATTCAAAACTCAAAAATATTTACTGGTCTGGGTACATGTAAAACGAAGACCTAAAATCTAAATTCCCAAAAGCAGCTTTAATACGGTCAAATTTTCCGAAGTCTGATTTAGTTGTTTCAAAAGTATAGAATACACACACACTTCTGTATGGATTTCGTACATGTTCTACATGTCTTACAGTAAAAATACAAAAATTGTCCCACTTCCGCGGTTTGTTGTGATTTTTAATACTGTAATTTGTTCTGTTTTTCTGTAGCGATTACCGATTTATCGGCAAATACCGCGATTTGAAAACTTACTTTTCTTTATTTATTTCATTCTACAGCATTTATAGTTCTACAGCTATCTTATACAGTTTTATAATATTGTGAATGATTCCGAATATTCAAAACGAATTGAAAGAATGAAAGCAGTAATGATGTACTGTATAACGGTTTAAACTTAGCCGGCCGTACAGCTCACTGCCACCGGTCACTGAGCCGAAGGATAAACCGAAAATTCACTTTTCTCATCACAAGATTTAATGTTCAGTCGATCCGCTACATTGAAAGATGAGTATACTTGGCTATTTTTTGGCAGGGGTAACGAAATATATCGGCTGTTCTCTACAGTAAGTGTTTCTTTATGTGTTGCCCATCGGAATATAATATAACTACATAAGCTTGATAGATGTAAGATAACGAGTTTCACAATCCCATTTTAAATACTATGGCTTTTGGCAGCCTGGTTTTGCATCATATGTGTTTTTCAGTAAAAGCCCCATTTTCCTACTTCCCCAACGTGTAATACGCGAAAAAAACTTTGTTAATAATAACAAAAAATTGTAATAGTAAACAGTGTATTTTATTATAAAGGATTTTCGTTTTTCTACTGCTCCGTACTTCGTGTGCTCCGTGCTCCGTGTGCTCCGTACTCCGTGTGCTCCGTGCTCCGTGTGCTCCGTGCTCCGTGTGCTCCGTGCTCCGTGCTCCGTGTTTTACTAATAGCCGTAATATGCAGTATTTACAATCAAAACAAAACGGCATGTACTAAAAGGCGAAACGTCGAAACGAAACGACCGAAACGAAACGGCCGAAACCATCGAAACCACCGAAACGACCGAAACGAAACAACCGAAACGAAACGACCGAAGCGAAACAACCGAAACGAAACGACCGAAACGAAACGGCCGAAAATGTAAATTACAGGAAAATTGAAAAATGCGGATACGGACGGACGGACGGGGGGGGACAGTCGGATGGACGGGGGAAGAGGCGGATGGACGGGGGAGGGGACAGGCGGATGGACGGGGGGGGACGGCTTCATTTGACACGAAACTCAATTTTAAAATCAAATCCGAGTTTTGTTGAAAGGGATATATTAGGATATATTATAAAAGACTATTATTAATCGTAATAAATTGTCCGCGAAAAGTTGATAAAATACATGTGGAAATCGGGGTTTTTCGAACCTTCGTAACGCTTGATATAAGGATAAAACGCGGATATGCTACAACTTTCATGCTTAATATTCTCAGTCATCTGGGTATGTAGTAGTCTAATTTTATGCAATGTAATGTGCTATTTTTTCAAGCGCTTTTCAATGCAGTTATCGGTTTAAATATACCTAAAATTCCCGTTAAGAGATATGACAATTGCCGCACGGCCTACTTTTACGCAAACGAAAATTTAATTCAGCTACAATTGACCATTTGTGTAATAGACTAAATTTTGATCTAAACAAGTCTAGACAAAAATTTCATCACAGCTTGAAAGAGCATCACAAAATTAGTAATATTCCAAAGTTTCGCTGCGACATGTTGTAAAATGTGGAAAATATAGCCTTGCGAAGTTTGCAATTTTCAGTCATTTTAGATTACAAACGGGAAATTGACAGCCTCAAAGGGTTTGGGGCTGTCAATTTCCTATTTGTAATCTAAAATGACTGAAAATTGCAAATTTTGCAAGGCTATATTTCCGCATTTTACAACATTTCGCAACGAAACTTTGGAATATTACTAATGGTCAATTTGCAAAAATTTCATGCTTAATTTTCTCTGTTATCTGGGTATGTAGTAATCTAATTTTATGCAATGTAATGTGCTGTTTTTTCAAGGACTTTTCAATGCAGTTATCGGTTTAAATATAACTCAAATTCCCGCTAAGATATGACAATTGCCGTACGGCCTACTTTTACGCGAACGCAAATTACAACTGCAAATTTCGTGCTTAATTTTCTCTGTTATATTATCTGCGCATGTAGTAATGTAATTTTATGCCAATGTAAGGTGCTATTTTCAAGGGCTTTTCAATGCAGTTATCGGTTTAAATATAACTCAAATTCCCGTTACTGATATGACAATTGCCGTACGGACAACTTTTACGCAAACGCAAATTACAACTGCAAATTTCATCAGCACATTACATTGGCATAAAATTACATTACTACATGCCCGGATAATAGAGAAAATTAAGCATGAAAGTGGCAATTGTAGCTAATTTTCGTTTGCGTAAAAGTAGGCCGTACGGCAATTGTCATATCTTAACGGGAACTTTAGGTATATTTAAACCGATAACTGCATTGAAAAGCCCTTGAAAATATAACACATTACATTGCATAAAATTAGATTACTTCATACCCAGATGACTGAGAAAATTAAGCATGAAAGTTGCAGCATATCCGCGTTTTATCCGATCAAGCGTTACGAAGGTTCGAAAAACCCCGCATTTCCACATGTATTTTATCAACTTTTCGCGGACAATTTATTACGATTAATAATAGTCTTTTATAATATATCCTAATATATCCCTTTCAACAAAACGCGGATTTGATTTTAAATATCAGTTTCGTATCAAATGAAGCCGTCCCCCCCGTCCACCCGCCTGTCCACCCCCCCGTCCATCCGCCTCTTCCCCCGTCCATCCACCTGTCCCCCACCCGTCCATCCGCCTCTTCCCCCGTCCATCTGCCTGTCTCCCCCGTACATCCGCCTGTCCCCTCCGTCCGTCCGTCCGTCCGTCCGTCCGTATCCGCATTTTTCAATTTTCCTGTGTTTTATATTTTCGGCCGTTTCGTTTCGGCCGTTTCGTTTCGGTTGTTTCGTTTCGGTCGTTTCGTTTCGGCCGTTTCGTTTCGGTTGTTTCGTTTCGGTCGTTTCGTTTCGGTTGTTTCGTTTCGGTCGTTTCGTTTCGGTCGTTTCGGTGGTTTCGATGGTTTCGGCCGTTTCGTTTCGGTCGTTTCGTTTCGACGTTTCGCCTTTTAGTACATGCCCAGTGGCGCATGCTCATGCTGTGTTTATATTAATAGCTATTACGATTAAAAAGTTTTACTAACCTTTTCCGCACTTCACACAAAAATTTGAACCATTTTCTGCTTCCTTGCCACAGTTAGGACAAAACATTTCCGCCTTTCGTTATGTAAATCGTTTCTTTTTATATACATATATTAAAGTTCGCAAGTTCACGTGTCCACTTCGATCGGCTATGCCCACTGATATTGTATATCAGTGGCTATGCCTATGATGTCATCTGTGAATTGATAAATTTTTCCGGTAAAATTTGATTGGACGGCGTGAAAAAGTGGCGTGGACGCCCGAGTGAAGAACTTCATGTTGTAACGATATAGTTGATTAAAAATAAAACCGCTGTACGAAAGCCACGATGTGAGCTATTTGTTATTGATGTGAGCTATTTGATGTTGATGTGAGCTATTTGTTGTTGATGTGAGCAATTTGTTAATGCTGTGAGCTATTTGTTGTTGATGTGAGCTATTTGATGTTGATGTGAGCAATTTGTTAATGCTGTGAGCTGTTTGTTAATGCTGTGAACTGTTTGTTAATGATGTGAGAGTTGTGGGCCACCGTACAAAACAATCTGAATCGCATTTGCATTCACGGCCATTTTGTTCAATATTCCAACACGATCTCCGAATTGAATTCGTGATTATCACGAAATGTTAAATCGCTTTGAATTCGTTATAATCATGAATCTCATGCATGCGTAGATGGAATCAAAGTTAAATAGATGTGCGCATTTGTACGCACTGCGCATATATGGATTACAGTATTCATCAAAATGGCGGACAGTAGTGTGGGAAATGCTGGTATGTATGAATAATTCATATTTTAATATATTTGGTATGTTTGAATAATTCATATTTTAATATATTTTTAAATTTTAATCTAAAAAAGTCTGTCTGATGAACAGCTAAAAATGCAGATATTTTATTTCAAAGAACAAAACAGCAGTAGCGAGTCTCGCGCATTCGCCGCATTGCGATGCGGCAATTGTCGCAAACATCAGACTATAAAATTGTATTAATTAATACTTATTTATATAAATACAGAGAGTAAAATCATACATAAAATGTATCCAATTGAATTACTATAAATCCAAATTATTAATCCAAAATGTATGTGTGAATCAATGTATCTAATAGTACTAAATACTATTTGTGTTATACTGCTGAATTGTGCACGGGTTGAAATTTAATTACACTACTCTACTATATTCTGCAGTGAAACTTATGTCTCAAATATCAGCAACAAGAAGAAGAGCATTGGGCTAGTATTCCAAAGGTCGTAGGTTCGAATCCCACCATGGCCGGGCATATTTTTCAAGCTTGCCCGGTGTGGATATACACTCAGAGTAACACCACAAATATCATATTCACCTGAGTACACTACACCAACACAGAACAAATTCATATTACTAGAATACATTGGTATTGAAGGAACTAGATTCTGTTCCGAAATATCACTCACTCGAACCGTCCTGACCGCGTAGCTCAGTTGGAAGAGCATTGGGCTAGTATTCCAAAGGTCGTAGGTTCGAATCCCACCGTGGCCGGGCATATTTTTCAAGCTCGCCTGGTGTGGATATACACTCAGAGTAACACCACAAATATCATATTCACCTGAGTACACTACACCAACACAGAACAAACACTAGCTAGTTGTAAATATTAGGCTCTTAGATGTAATATTTCAACAAGTAATTGTTGTTCCCCTTCCCTGGTCTAAAAATAGGCAAGTGTGTTAAGTTAGGAAAACTCCTCACATCTTTGTTGATGTTGCATGGCCTTTATAGTTGTTGAGTATACGATTCTTATCCTGGTGTATGAAAAGGATTGCTGACGCTACTATTTGGCCTGTTCATCAGTTTATAGCGAAGTTTAAAATGTGACAACTTTGCACACATTTATTGAATACATATGCCAGGATAAGAATTGTATATGACTAGTCATATTGTGTAGATGGACCTTAATGCATATATCAAAGGCCTGCCCGGGGGGGGGACACTCCGGGACTTTGAAAAAACATGATTCTAATATGTTAATTCCCCCTCTCTCCCCCGGGAAATGTGTAAGTCAAACTGCCCTCCCCCTGGGGCTTAGAATAAAGTAGTTCATAATATAAATAGCATACAAACAATTAAAAATTATCATATAAACTGGGGTATCACACTGGCACTCATGTATTCTGTATTTATTTATTCAAATTTTAGTAAGACCACTACAACATATCATATATAAATAATAACTTGGCGATCAATAGTTTTCTCCGTGAGCCTGCGATTATGACTTTCCACCAATTGTGCAGTTCATTTATAAAATTCAAATTGTCACATCAAAGTCCCCTACTTCCCCTCCCCCCGTCATCCTATTATGGCAAAGTTTGTAATTTCCCTGGAGTTCACGGGCAGAATACACAGATAAAATACCAAATTCCCCCTTGTTCCCCCCAGGCAGGCTGTTGATATGTGCATAACTGCGCACCATGAGCCTCGATCTGCTTTGAATTGGGCAACAATACCCTGTGGGTTTTGGTAATATTTTTGTAGGCAGATACATGCAGCAGTTATAAATGCATGGGTATAAGGGATTTGTTCCACTATTTTATATCTTTGCATTTCACATTTATGTATTTTGGTGGAATGTTGTGCAGTTGTTTTTCAACTTCTTTTAGACCTCCTTAATTGAAAATATACTGTAAATAAGATACCATGGTTAGAATTTGCAGTTGTCATCATTAGGGAAATTTAGGCATGTTAGGGTTTGTAATCCAAGTGAGAATATATACATTTTAAAACCTAACAAGGCAAGAATCTAAGTTAAATTTAGGCATGCCCATCTTAGCAGAGCATGCATACATTGTACATGCTGACGTGTACAGAACATTATTCAATTAATGTGATGAAATACTAAATTATTTCTAAATATAGTCGGCAAAGTTTTTAACCCATTGGTAGAATTTTGAGGTTAAGCAAAGGCAAAAGGCCTCCAAAACAAGATTGGGTGACTCACAGTTTGAGCCATATTTTACTGCAGATAGATCAAACAAAGTTAAACAAAAATCTCAAAAACATGGCCATTTCTCTGTGTGATTTCTAATCATGCACTGCAAGTGCATTTTAACAATTATTAGATTATAATATTTAACTTTGTTTATAGATAACGGAAAACGTACTGCGAAGAGACCTCTCTCATTAAAGGTTTAGTTATTATATTGTTTTGCATGAAAACATAGAGTCGATCTCCCATTGTTTGATAAATTACACTGTATGCAGTTGAATATGAAGTAAAGTACCTATAATAATAAACATAACCAAAATGACATCCAGTTATTGATTTATATGCAACTCCAGCTTTATTATGCTGAAAAATCTCAATAAAAACTGCCGAAGCAACCGAAATATTTCAATATTTACAAGTTTAAGCATCACTCCGTGTTTACACAGCCATCATTTTGATTTTTTCAGCATAATCAGCAATATGATACTTTTAATAGATTAATTTAAATTGTTCCTTTTGACTTGGGGCAATAATCCACCTTTACTTTGATGAACTATATGACCCTGCCACATAAGCAAATTTGCACATTTTCTGACAACTTTTGTGGCATGCTAGCAAATATGTATACACATGCGCAAACTAAAAAGGGAAGTAAACATACAGGAAAGGACGAATCTGATCATTTTTTGTATATATGGGAAGTATTAATTTAGATGTTGTCAGTTCAATGAAAATAATGCCTGGTCGTATCGGCAGGAAAATATAGGGCCTAATAAGCATGTATATTTTTGTCAATGCAGGTGTGTTTTGCACATGTTAAATTGATTGATTGATTGATTGATTGACATCTTTATTTAAAACACCAGGTCCATTTCACAGGTTATGTTATGTGCTCTTCAATGGAGACGTGTACCTATACTAGTAGACGTGTACCTATACTAGTAATTGGCAAGCTTAAGTTTGCAACAAACTTGGGAACCGCACGAAACCGCGCGTTGAAAAGTGACTTGAAATTGACAATAATATTGCTGCGAAGAAATTAGAATATGCAAGTACTGCAAGCTAACAAGAACTTAACTACGAAGTGGAACAGTGGCTCAAAGTCCGCTATAAAGTGATATATTATACAAGAGGAAAACTCTTGCTTGTCAATATTTGGCACCACAATTTTTTCTACTATACAAACGGAATACTGTGATCATGAAGTTTACTATTCCGTCAGGCATTTTAGTATATTCAGAATAGCGGGAATTTTGACCCCTGATATTTTTACTACGAGGCTACAAAAGTTGTCAGAAAATATGCAAATTTGCTTATGTGTGGCAGGGTCATATTTTTCATCACATTAAAGGTGGATTTATTGAACATAACTTGGGGGAATTATGTGTTATAGGTATCAGCATGCTAATTCTATAGCCCAAACAGTTAATTCATTTGGTAACCTAGATATAACAAAACATTTTCTCTTATGGACTGTAACTAAAACTTTTGCAGGCCTGTGTAAATAAAACTTTCCATGCTTGACTCGACTTTTAACCCTTAATATTGCAGATCAGTATTACAGGGCTGGTATTTGCTCAGCTTTTGTGCAAGTACCTGTAATACAGTGGTGTAGTGGGGTGGGGATGGGGGTCTTAGCTAGGAGGGCTGAGTTCCCTTGCTAAAACTTCATGTTGACTTGGGGGGGCTTCCCAGGCAGAAATTTTCATATTTTCTGAACCCCGCTTTCCCACTGGGTGAAATTGCTTGGAGGAAGGGAAGTTCACCGCGTTGTATTTTTTCACGGCAAGTTTTTTTCGCTAACCAATCATGTAGCAATTAGTAGAATAAACTACAACAAAATATAGAATTTACTGCAAAATATCATATTGTAACACCCCCACCCCCCGCCAATCCAGGACACTTTTGGAGAGCCCCTTTGTTATCATTCCAGGACTAAACCACTGCTGTAATATTAAGAGTATTTTAAGCAAGCACACTTTTAATCCAACATCAAAGTTAATTTAATGTTTAATTTTTAAAATCTTAATCTCATTGTAGAAATGTTCAGAATGTGGTCTTGCACAACCTGTGGCAAAGAGAAAATGTTCTAGCGTTGAATGTGGTGCAATTTTTAAAAGAAAAGTGAAAAATACCACTGAAATACTTAAAAACAAGGGGGAAACAAATCCTACTGATCAAAAAAAAATGATGGAGTCACGGGTAAGATGAAAATAGCAAAGCACAAATTTGATGGACATACCACTTTGAAATATGGCGTCAATTGTTAACAGTACATTGTGTAACACAACAACTGTATATATATATATATATATATATATATATATATATATATATATATATATATATATATATATATATATATATATATATATATATATATATATATATATATATATATATATATATATATATATATATATAGTTTCGGGTTGTCTGTCTCTACCGCTTTTTAGATTATTTCTAGTAGGCTAGCTATTGACTGTATGATCAGGCCAATATTACACAAACGTATATTCGACAAACGATATAGTTTGTTCTTGCGGATTATGCGATTTACAACGTCGTGTTATACTATCTGGTAGTATTTACTGTTCGAGCTGTATTTCAAAATCATATGATACGCAATTTTATTATGTGGAAGTAGAATAAATTATGTCCGTAATTTCTGCCATGATTTTCATACACGCACTATTTCTGTGATGCTTTACTGTATGCTTGATTTGCTTTACTTTACTTTACTTTACTTTACTTGCCTTGTTTTGCTTTGCTTTACTTTACTTTACTTTACTTTACTGTGTTTTGCTTTGCTTTGCATTACTGTGTTTTACTGTGTTTTACTTTGCTTTACTTTACTTTACTTTACTTTACTTTACTTCACTTTACTTTACTTTACTTTACTTTGCCTTTGCCTTTGCCTTTACTTACTTTACTTTACTTTGCTTTGCTTTGCTTTACTTTACTTTTTACTTTACTTTACTTTAAGAATAACATTTCTATATAGCAAGTTTCCATGTGGATATGATCAAATGTGCTTTACATCGAGTATTACGCTTATACGTAATTACATACTTAGCCTAGGCTTTTTATCATCACAACAATTATGATATTACTTTCCTAACTATGTTTATCCTAACCCACCCTATGTGTTACTTTACGTTACTGTAACTTTACTTTCTGTAACTTGTTTTAACTACTTTATCAAGGCAGATATATTAAATCACAAACACAACTGTGATATCGTTATACTAACCCATAAAAGGCATGGATTGGGTTACACCATTTCCACTTATGGAACAGAAGGCTTGGCTCAAATGTTTATCGGAACCAATTCCTCTGATCGATCTGAAGAAGGACAAGCTATTGTCACCCTTTTTGATCGATTTATGTCAGGTAAACGCTTAATTTTAGATAAGACATACAGTCTTTACAGATATATAAATTAGAGGCACAAACGAAATTTCCGCCAGTCATATAGGATCGGATCGGACTATAGGAAACTTGTATGGAAGTCGCCTCGGATCCTATATCCGATTTCAAATCGACGGACCAGCGTGAATTTATGTGTGAAGGCTGAAGCGTTCCCTGCAATTCGGTTCTAATTTCTACTGGCAGTCTTGCAATTTTCAATTAGCACTTTCCCATGTGAGTGTAGTGCAACCTGTCTATTTACACGAACATATATTTTATGCTTACGCGGGAAATAGATTTATCATGCTGAAGGAAAATATGTATATATTTATTTCTGTTCGGATTTTTACCGATCGGATTGGATCAGTGTAAGCTAAGTACCCAAACGTTACTTTAATTAAGATCTACATTTTTATGTCTGATATCTAATTCTAAAAATTACACGGATTGAATATCTAAAACACTAAATACCGAATTATTGAAATGATTGAATACCTAATCAATCTCCTTACTTCAGGTGATAACTAAATTACGATCATGGAACCGAGTTTTAACTGAAATGATTCATATAGCCTGGATGCAGTGGGAAAATTTGTTTTTAATCTTCTAAGACTGTAAGTGTAAATACTCTGAATAATTCGGGCTTATCAATTTTAAAGACGTATTGTTTCACCCAACAACACATATCTTATACTTATTGAACATAATCCATGTAAACTAAAAGTATGAAAGATAATCACATATTTCCCGTATATATTAATTGTAATCTTTTGCAGAAAGTTTGAGACCTAAATCAAGGTACCCAGAAAGGTACCCAAAAATTTTTCTTACCTCTGAGTCAAACTCGAGCTCTTGGCTAATCCTTCAAAAACTCATTAATAATTCATGAAACAATTATCCAATCTTGAGTAAGAAATTAGTCACGTGCATACGTCTTTATACCAGCAAAAGAACACTTTAACAAAAGACCATTGTTATGCAAACTATATAAAGATTTTTATATAAAGATTTTTATATAAAGATTTTTATATAAAGATTTTTATATAAAGATTTTTATATAAAGATTTGACTTATTATGCATACGTTTTTGAAGTCTTTTAAAAAACTCGCGGGTCGTGTTTTATTAGGTCTAAAGCAGGGCGCTTATATACCATATATAAGCGCCCTGGTCTAAAGCCACTCGTGCTGCGCGCTCGTGGCTTTAAACCTAATAAAACACTCCTGCTCGTTTTTTAAATAGTACTTAAAAAACTCATTAATAATCCAGGACACAAAGAAAAATCATAAGCGTGTCGTATCTTTATATGTGATAAAAAATCATGTTAATTTACATAAACTTTAGCTTTGATTTTCTCGGTTTAGACAAAGGTTATTTTAAAAATTACTTCGCTAATGTACTCATCAGAAGATGAGTCGTTTTTTAAGCCATTTAAAGCACTTGTATAATCGTGTTTTTTCAGATATAAAACGCTCGGCTGCGCCTCGCGTTTTATATCTGATAAAACACTCCTACGCGTGCTTTAAATAGTACATATAGTATATTCAAATTTGTAATCGAAAAAAGACGCCATTTGTATTATTATCTCATAACGTTTGTAGCATATATTGTTTGGGACGACCAAAACGTCCATTTTGTCTCTTTCAAACCAGCTGGATGAAATCAGGTTTTTAGATTTTGATGTCTGGTTGCAAATCCAACTAGCTATAAAATTTTAATAATTCTGTATCGATGTATCTGTAACCCAGCTATTGTGGCTATACCAAATCAAAATATAATAGGCAGAATTTCGGGTGCGAGAAGAAAGTACCAAGCAGTGAAGTATTAACGTATATGATTTCAATAACCATTATCTGCATTAACTGAATTTTCGCGACCTGTGATTACGAAAGCGAAATTTTATTCTATACAGTTTATTTGAAAGTAGATTATTTGTTTTCTGGTAATATGGGCCTAGCTGTCAACAACTTATGTCGCACCTATCCAATGATTTTGTCACATTTTTGTTTCAAAACGTCTGGGGGTTATTTTCGAAAGCTGGTTAGCTTAATCCTACAACTATACCTTAATCAAAAACCATTGTTACGGTGTCATGGATACACAGTGTCATAAATATATTTTTATTGTTTAATTTGCAAGGAAAGTTCACAAGAATACATTTGTCCTTTCTCTGCTAGCCGCTACGCAGGCTAGAATAAATGGAATTTGCGCAAAAAAACAGAATGAAAATTAGGAAATTTAAAGCACTATGCTTTTTCCATTTACGTGCACGTCAAGGTTGCCTTTCAGTTACGTTTTCAAGGTTTCACAGAATTAATTCAAGTGTGATACTGTAGTTCAATGGTTCGTGGCTGTCAATCTGTGAATTATAGTTTCAACTTGATTGCTATAATTTGGATCAATAAAGCATAAATTTTGCAACAGGAGGAGCTCAGCTGATCATATTGAAACTATTACTGCGATAGCTAAAGTGAATAACGCTCATCTACGGTTAACCAATCATATTGAGAATATACGAATGGAATATAGGAATATATGAATGGAATATAGGAGTGGGAGTGGCTATAGGTAAAATGTTTTTATTCCTAATTAGTTTGAAATAATTTTGTACATTTAGTGCAAAAGAACAAAAAAAAGGAAGATCAAAAACGACAGATGCAAGAGCGAAGAGAGGAACAACAACAACAACAACAACAGCAACAACAACAACAACAACAGATGCAACAACATGAGCAGCACCAACAACAGATGCAACAGCAATCACAGATGCAAAAACCACAACAACAGATGCAACAACAACAACAGGTGCAACAACACGAACAACAAGAACGGCAGATGCAACAGCAACAACAAGAACAACAGATGCAACAACAAGAGCAACACCAACAACAGATTCACGATCAACAACAACAGGAACAACAATCACATATGCAACAACAGCAACAACAATCACAGATGCAGCAACAACAACAATCACAGATACAACAATCAAAAGCCCTGCTAAACCAGCGACAGGAACCAGAACAGCTGCAGCAGCAACGGCATCAACAATGCCAAAGGCGACAGGAAGAAGGACATCAGCCACAAGAACAACAAACACCACCACCAGTAGACCAACAACCTGTACGCTATATGAAATTGGCTGTACCAAATCAAGGTTACGTTCCAAATCATGGTAAGCACTTGTTCTGGTAAAGTTGTACTTTTTATTTTAAGCATACTGTTTTCAAATTTCAAAAATAATTGTTAACCTTTTTTATTGTTAGGCGACAACGTTCTGGTTTTAGGAAAACAGAATGGAAAGGCAACGTTATTTGGAACTGCCACTGTTATACCTGGTAGACAACTGCATTTTCGCCAAATGAGGGACAATTCATCCAAAGTTGCCTTTTCAGCATTGAGTGTAAAAGATGGTACACCATTCTATTCGGACAAGCATGGAGAAGACAATCTTGCTGTAGGACAGCTATATGAATGGCCAAACACTTACTTATTTCCAATTAATAATCCTAATCAATAATTATTTCTATTGGCATGTAGTAAAACACTGACTACCGGAACACCACCGGAACACCACCGGAACACCACCGGAACACCACCATTTAGTTTGGGGTTAGGGGTTAGGGTTGGGGTTAGGGTTAGGTGGTGTTCCGGTGTTCCGGCGGTGTTCCGGTGGTGTTCCGGTAGTCAGTGTTTTACTACATGCCATTTCTATTTCACCATTCATGTTTCCTTATGTCTTCATCTTGAATTGGGTCAATAACGCGTAAGGAAAACTAAAATATATTCCTACCTAATTTTAGGCCCAATCAGCCTTTCTCACGATGTAGAAGAATATTCGGTATGAGAAATTTCCGGTATCGGTATACCGAAAAAATTATACCGATATTATCGGTATGCCGGTTTTCTTTTGATAATTATGAAGGAAAAGTCTTTAATGGAAGTTTGAAGGAAATTTTGAGTAATTCTAAAAGGGAAAACGATAATTTCGAAGCTGTTTCGAACATGTTTCGAACGACATGCACGTACTCAGTGTAAAATCTCACTGAAGTGGAAATTCTAAATCATTGCAGTAGAAAGTTCTTTGAATTGCCATTCAGTAGTAAAATAAAGGTTATGGTTTCGTCATATAGTTGGTAAATTTAACACGGTATACCGAAAAATTCCGGTATATCCGAAATTTCGGTATATCGGTATGGTTGAATATCCGGTATCGATATACCGATATTGATTACCGATATATTCGGTATATCGGTATACCGAACAGCCCTATATAGTCACTAGAATCCCGCCATTTTTGGGTGGCATCTAATTCTCGTTAACCAATGCAGACAATTAAAACAATGTAAAAAGCAATTTTTCAAAATAAACTAACCATTTACAAAAGCAAATTTACCATCATTCGTCCAAAAAATTCGCTCGCTATTATGTGGACTTATATCGCAGACTTCGGCTGAAAAGCCACCCAAAAATGGCGGCGTGAGAAAGGCTAATTGTCACGGGACAGCGTTTTCCTATGTGAGCACTTTGCATCGGGACTTTATCCCAACTGGCTCACCTTTCACCAAGGTTTCCAACCAGATCTGGAAAAAAGTGGATGTCATGATTCTGGATCCTAAAGGCTGCATTCCAGTTACGCGTTTTTCATACGGACGTACACGCACTGAAAAGTTGAAATCATCCTCAATTTTATATAATTACCGATTAACTCAACCAACAAACTTTAAATCATACACAAAACTAAAAGCGCTGTCTTTCTAATCATTCAGTTATTTCAAAAGTAACATTTAAAGAGATTTCAACTTTTCCGTGCGTGAACGTACACATGAAAAACGCGCAACTGTATCCTTATTTCCCATAGTAATTTTAAGAACATTGAGGAAGATTTTCAATTTTTTACACCATTCAATTTGCGCCATGTCGGATCGATAACGGTATTCCACACAATTTCCATTCGTGTTGATATAACTGTATATCAACACGGAAAATGTTTTATATTTGTTAGATGTTACTGTTTTATCAAACTTTATTTACAACAATTACCTAAACTGTTATTGTGTATATCTCTTCTTTATCCTATTATTAGTATAGGTAATCATGCAATGGCGAGTACAATTAGGGATTAATAGTACGAGGGATGTTTGGAAATTTTGCCAAAATTGGACGAGCCGCCGGGGCGAGTCCAATTTGACAAATTTCAAAACATCACTCGTACTATTAATCCCTAATTGTACGAGCAACATATTATTAGCATGACAAAATTGGATACTTCTCAATGTCAACATCATATATTCTCTCGCCAAAGCCCAGTCCTGCCAGACTTTCAACCAAAATTTGGTGCTTTTGTTCGTATTTTCATTTAGTTCTTTTGTTAAAGCAAAATTTGGTGCTTTTGTTCGTATTTTCATCTAGTTCCTCTAGGGCAAATGACAATTTCATTTCACGCTTGTGTTTAATCCGCCATTTCGTTCTATTGCAGTACAATTAATGAAATAATTGTACTCCTCTCAACCAATCAGCATCCAGTAATTTTGTCATGCTAATAATAAAGATTGTTACAGTATGACAGGCATCATGCATTGAAGAGTGAAGAGAGTATGGTACGAATTAAGTTTCGTGGAAACTGGTCGCCTAGATTTGATTGCTGAAGAGTTATTTTTCCTTTTTGAGTTGGTTAGACCGATTAGTGCTGGTGCCTTGGTGGATTTATATTACAT